CTTGTCCAGAGCGCTGCCGAGACGTGAGCTGAGACACAGCTCCTGCCTGGGCCACCGTTATTTGCTGTCACGAAGGAGAAGCAGCCGCAGGAGGGAATTGCTGCTGGGACAAGTTGCATCCAACGCTCTTTGCAGGGCTGAGAGCTGCAGGCTGCCTTGCAGAGCCTCTGCGGTGCGAGGCACGGGGATCCGCGTCGGCTCCCTCCCGTGTCTGATGGCTCCTCGGGCGGTGGGAGGTCAGCGCAGGGGTGCTCTGCCCGGAGCGGCTTTGCCCATTGCCACAACCACCCCCCGATCTCAAGGCACATCACCAAGGTGCAGGTCACGACCAGCGTACAAGGAAGCAAGCAAGGGTTGGCGCCCTTAATTCAAGCCAGACCCTCCCTGGCCCCGTACCATTAGAGATGCACGTACTCTTGCTTCTCTCTGGGTGTTGCATCCATCGTCTTTACTGGAGAGGCTCAGCCTGCTGCAAACCCCCAGGGCTCCTCCTCGGGGTCGTGCCCCGCAGAGGGAAGCGGAGCAGACTGGCGTGGGAGCCAGAAAGGGAAAGGCAGCTTTTCCAGAGCCATTGCTGCACGAACCGTCCAACAGTCGCCGTTTACAGCTATCGCTCTGCGTGATCAGCAGTTGGCTAATCACCAGGGGCCAGATGCTGCAGTCCCCACCCGCGGGGGGGCAGGGATTTGCAGGCATTAAGCGCTTGCAGGCTGGGCGTCCCCCCTCGCTCTTAGCTCCGTCGCGCTTCCCCTGAGCAGCGTGGGACGGATGGCCCTGGAAAGGAGCTTTGCTTGAGGGTGGGGGACTGGGACCCTGTTGTCTCCACCTCTCCTCAGACTGCCGAGGTGGGTGCTGCTCCGTCAGGAACCGGCCGAGATGCCCAGGCTGTTTCGCACAGGCACCGCCCGACAGCCACTTGGGGGTCTGGCGCGTGGGACTCCTGCTTTGGTGTCGAAATGGCGACTGAGAAGCTCCCGGACCAGCCCCAGTATCATTGCTGCCGGGTGAGGTGCTCACAGGCAGACGCCCTGGCAGCACTAAAACGGGCTGCCAGCGCCAGTGCCGTCGGTGTGTCCTGTGCCCTAAAACTGCCCCTTAAAAATTCTCATTGAGAAACTTTCCCACCTGTTTTTTTTCCTTTTTAATCCGTATTTTTCACACCGGTTCCCTTCCTTGTCCCTCTTAAACAAAGCAACACCCTAATTAAGTAAATGACCGTGTATTTTTTCCAAATAGTTTGCAATATAAGGAGAGCTGTTAAATATTTTTCCCCCAGAAACAACAAGGAAAAATGATTGCTTTTTCATCTTAGCTGTAACCCACCCTGTGTTCCTTCAACGTCACGACATGCCCAAGATGCACCCCATGCAGAAACAATGCTCTGGAGCCCCTTTGTTTTCTACCAAGGATAACTCAGATGAATTGGGTTTTTTCTTTTTTCCTTACTCGCTTCTCAGTCTTGCTGATGAAAGGAAAAGATGCGGGAACAAGGGGCTCCCCGGGAGGGTGGGAAGCTGATTAGCGGGGCTGGTGTGCCCCGGGTCCCCGGCGCGGCCGGCGGTCAGCTGTTGCCGGACCAATTCCCAGCTGCTGCGGGAGACTATAATCTATACTGGTCAGTGTAAACACACAAATTAAAAACCTAATCAATACTTGGGTATCATGCTTTTGCTTTTTTTTTTTTTTTTTTTTTCCCCCCTGCATGTGACCGGTTCGTAAAGGTTAAATGGTATTTTCTGATTAAACCGAGTACTCCGGTGATCTCAGCTCATTTCCCGCTCATGCCGTATCTTTTGTCTGACCTTAGGGTAGCACTTAACCTCTCCGGACTGGAGTCCCTCTGTGTAATAGAACGACAGTATTTCCTTACATTACCAGAAGGACAGGGCGATAAATTAATTCCCATTTATGTAGTGCTGAGATATGACCGTGATAGATTATGAGTCTGTCCCCGGAGTTATCCGTGCTCTCAGGAGCAATACGCAGCTCTATGGGGGAATGAATTACCTCCTGAAAGCGTAACCGCTGCCTGCGCTCTAACGCTGCGAAACACAGCCGCAGCTCTGAATAGCAGCAAGTGCAATTATCCCCTTCCTCCTGCGTTTTTTGAATATTTCTGAAATTGGAGCCCGGGTGCAGCTGGTCCCAACTTGAGAGCGCTGCAGGAGGAAGGTTGGGTGAGCTCTGGCTGGCTGATAGCTACCGAGACAAGCTAAAGCGTAAGTCTCCTTACTGTCAGCATCAGCTCTGAAGTTCAGGGGATTGCTGGATTCATTACTGC